GCTTCTTCCACGGTGAAAGCCGATCCGGCGATCCACTGCACGAAGTTGACGTATTTCCTCAGCGACCAGCACGGATCAGCTCCAGGCATGACGTTGTCGCTTTCACAACGAAACACACAACGCCTTCACGCATTGGCGGCAGCGGCAACAACAATACTACAGCGAGAATAAAAGTTACGCCTTCTTTCTTTGTGTGAACATTTGGGTGGCGTTATGCAAATCTTCCCACACAGTGACGTAGACATGTGGGGGCGTGTTAGAACGAGCCGTTTTAGGTAGGTGTGGCTGACTCTGAAATTTTATAAAGAATATCTCTTTGGATTTGAGACTTTAGTCTTTGCAACTTTACAGATCTTCTTTATGCACCAAGAGCTTGTAACACTCCAAAGAGAAAGGAAAAATTGAAATTGCATCATATGACCCCTTTAAAAAGTATATAATTTTGATTCTTTTTTAGAAAATTACAGATCGTTTCGCTAGATAAGACCCTGCTTCCTCGTCTGGGATCGTGTAGAACGCTTTGAAGCTGCACTGAAGCTGCAATTTGGACCTTCCACCCAGTGAACCCCACTGAAGTCCACTATATAGAGAAAAACCCTGGAATGTTTTCTTCAAAAACCTTAATTTCTTTTCGACTGAAGAAAGAAAGACATGAACATCTTGGATGACATGGGGGTGAGGAAATTATGAGGACATTTTAATTCAGAAGTGAACTAATCCTTTAAATATGTTTTAAAATGCAAGTTATTCTATGATGGCGAAGATTTTGTGAAAGCCATGATGCATTTCTTTTTAGGATTCTTTGATGAATAGAAAGTGTAAAAGAACATAATTTGTTTGAAGTGGAAATTTGTAAAACTATAAATTAGTGCTGTCAAATGATTAATCGCGATTAAAGTTTTTGTTTAAATAATATATGTGTGTGTACTGCGTATATTTATTATGTATATATAAATACAAACACATCCATGTATATATTTAAGATGTTTATATATTAAATATATTATGTATAATATAAAATATAAGAATATAAATGTATATAGATGTAAATATTTAAAAAAAGGCTACTCTATGTGTGTGTATTTATATATACATAATAAATATACACAGTATACATACATATATTATGTAAACAAAAACTTTTATTTTGGATGCGATTATTGTTTGACAGCACTACTATAAATGTATTCACCGTCACGTTTGATCTATTTAATCTTTCTATTTTTACCTATTATTTTGAAAGTATGCTTATATGATTTGTCACTCCAAACTAAGCAAAAAGCTGGTGATGTCTTTAAATTTGAATATATTATTGATTTTTTTTTTTCCTCATAGGTGATTTATATGTTGAATAGCTTGATACAATGGTGGTGAGTGTGGACATGACTGTGTGCAATGTGAAGGATGTTAACTAAACATTATACTATTGTGGTTCTCATAATATTTTCCCAAGGTCTGGCAATGCAGCAAGGCGGTAAATACAGCTTATGATTATGATAATGATTGTGATATAAGGATCTTGAAAGTCCATTCATTGTTGGCATCATCTGCAGTCAACTCTGTGTCCAGACTGGTGCTTGTAATGTCTCTAGTAACTTTAGGATGGACATCCTGCGATAGAAAGCTGACATGATAGGCTATGAGATGCAGTATGTGACAGTTCGGCTGAAGAGATTTAACCTGATAAAGTGTGTCTGAGCCCTAACCATTATCAGGATAACCATTCCAGAGTTTTGGAGCTAAATGTGAAAAAGCTGTGTCTCCTTTTGTGGGCTTTGATATGCTACGTACTGTCTATAGTCCAAACTGTGACCTTAAAAAGTTTGACGGATTGTAGTGTGATACAAGATCGGTTATAAGGGACATCAAACGTTTTCCTTCTATAAATGTGATTTTTATTATTACAAATGACTCCTGCAAAACTGACACTATTCCCTGCTATGACTTACAGAGTTAATCATGTTGTGTCTTTTGAGCAGAAGCAGTATGATATTCCTTGAATAGGTCAAATTTAACAGATGGTTCTGATCTGCTCGTGCTATAATGAAGTGCTGACATAAAAGTATAATCAAGCACAGAGCACAAAGCTTTGACATATGATCCTCTTAATCAGTTGTTACTAACAATTTTGAGTACGTCAAGCACTTGTTAACTAAATCTGCATAGTTTCCCTGCTGCACATGAACCTCACGTTACAGTGCCTGGACATTAATGCATCTCTGCTGTTCTGTGAGGAACGTTTTGACCTAATAAGCAGATACTAAGCTTTTTACCTTTTTGGAAATGTATAAAAACTGTTTATGGATTTTTTTTAGAGGATTTGTTTAGAGAAGAGAGAAAGTCTTATTGCTATAGTAAAATATCCCTCATGTTCAGTTTGGGGTCTCAGAAACACTTATTTTAATAGCTTGAAACATACACAGGTTGACATTTCATGGTTTTTCCTAATTAATGATAAGTAAGTTTAAACATCATTTGAACTTGACAACACATTTCAACTTTCCTTCTTAAAAATTTTTTCATTGCTTATGTTAAGGGTGGCATAATAAAATATTATATCATAATAATATAGCTGCAATTAGGTTAGAGGATCTTAAGGAATTTGAAGGCAAAATAAATTATTCATTTGAATCCCAAACATAAAAAGTCAAATAAATCTTACAGTTTCAGTTATTTGATTGAACAGAATTTCAGTTATTACATTGCCTGTTTTTCTTTATAAATACCTTTTCCCAAGGCCTCTTGAATTCTCACCAAATTAAACCCGACATCTACAAAATAATTTACTTTTTTTTTTTGAGAGACAAACCAAAATTCTCTGTGCTATTTTTATAGAGCCTCATAATTGAATAACTATTTAATAAATAAATAAATATTGAATAGAGAGTCATAATTTAAAAATATTTCTTTCTTTCTTTTTTCTTTTTCAGATTCAGAAGTACTTTGAATTGCAGCCGCTGGCCCGAGGGAAGCGCTGGATTCTTGCAGGCAGCACAATGAACAACATGGAGGCCGTGAAGGAAAGTTTCAGTCAACTCATCCGCCTTTTGGAAGAGAAGGAGGTGCTACCTAGCAGGATATGATTCAATCAAACTTCAAAGTGGAAAGTGGGTTTGAAGTGTTGTTTGCTAGAAGGATTTTTTTTTTGACCTTGTCGTCGTTTTATAACCCACTGGAGACATAGATGCAAATTGCCACATGTTTTGATGAGCTGACTGACATATTTGTTACCCTCAGGTCAAGGGCCACACATATGCTGATTTAGTAGCAGGTGAACCAAAGTCCTTTAAAGAGATCAGGTTTTAAATGTAATTTGATATTTGATAACAAAATTGTTGTTTATTAGTTGGTTGTCATGTGGTGTGAGTGTGGAATTTATGTAAATAATATATTGTACATGCATATATACATACAATATATGTATGAACTAATCCATATTTCTTATAATGGCTCAGAATCTAAATAAGCATCTTTATCGAAGATGATTATATTATATTATTATATTATATATATATTTTTTTTTTTAATTCGGCAAATTTAGTGTTCCTTGCACTCATTATTCTTTCTTCCTTTTAGGAGAATGTTACAATGTTTTTCTAGACTATGTGCTGAGTTTCTTAATACTGGTTATGGGTACTTGCGTTTCTTTTTGTCAGATTTCTATCTCCAGATGATGTTGTTAATTTTGTTGTTTGAAAAGACCACACACCCCATTTACTTGGCACTGGCCAAGCTGTTTTCAGGTTTGAGCTGGAATACAAACTCTATCAATCAGTGTTGGCAACAGCTGCATTTGACAAGTCCCTGTCCGCCAGGCTTAAGCCCTCCAACTGTCTGTGGAGACTCCTCCCCGTCTGCCACCTCACTCCTCGCCCAGCCACGCTCTGCGGCCTCACCCGCTGCTTCCTGCTGGTATTATCCAAATTCCTCTCCACAAATTTAGATTCCTGACTGCGCACCTCTCTGATGTGTTATTTTGTCTCACGGGAGTAGTTTAGGACTCACACATGCTGTGTTTCTGTATTTATAGCGTTAACTAGGTTGTACATGTTTTGCCCGCCAATTGCCACTCGATGTCTTATTTTTTGCAACAACAAAAAAACACATATTTGTACTGCCTTTAATTTGATTTGAGGCCATGTACCAGTTAGATGTTTCATGTGATCCTTTGTAAGTCCTCAGGGTAGCGCTTTACTGCAGTTACAGTTTAATTCACTAACATTAGCCAATGCATTAGGTATCACAAACTACATATTGGATAGTTTTTACAGCATTTATTAATTTAGGTGAATGTTAATTTATACAGACAATATTTGAAATGTTTGTTTGTAATAAAGTAACTTGTTAATTGTTAAAACTTGTGAATTGTTAAATGTTAAAAAATTTATTTGTATATGTGGAAATTAAACATTGCAAATATTAACCTTCACTGTATTATATTATTATAAACTAATATTATATAATAATTTATTAATGGTAACACTTTTGAATAGGGACCAATTCTCACTATTAACTAGTTGCTTATTAGCATGCTTATTTTTAGCATATTGCTTGTTTATTAGTACATAATCTACATCCTTAATTCTAAACTTAACAACTACCTTACTAAGTATTAATAAGCAGCAAATTAGTAGTTTATCGAGGCAAATGTCGTAGTTAATGGTTTGTTAATAGCGAGAATTGGACCTTACAATAAAATGTGACCTTATTAATAAATGTATTAAAAGTGTTGATCATAGCTATTACATCCATATGTAAAGTACCACCACCTCACAATTGAATCTTATTGTAAATATTAAATGATTTAAAATGATTAATTTCAGACAATGGCACGTAAGTGTAAAATACATCTGATATGCTGCTGTTTTCATGCCAATAGTTTCTCAATAGTTCCACCTTCGTCCGGCAAAATCAAAGCAACCCAGTAAAATAATCAAAGTGTCCATCATATCATTGCTTCCCCATCTAATCTCTGCCTCGAACCCAAATTTTATGCGCTCGCGGTGTGATGTAGATAAAAAAAGGGAAGTTAACGTTTCTCAGACAGGGCTCCCGATCCAGCCAGGTTTATTTTTTTCTTCCCTTCTTTTCACACTACCCACGTTGCTTTAATACAATGTCTGTCACGCAGGTTGCCTCTGCGATTCTTTGATCTGCTCTTCCTCTGTCTGCGGCTGATGCTCCTCTCTAGTCTGCTGCTCTTGTCTAGCCACTCTCAGAGAAAGCCCTTTGCCCTGTCTTTCTCGGGCGCTCTGCTTCCCTTTGGTCACGCTAATGGAGCCCACCCTCAAAGCAGAAACGCTGCAAAAAACCAGTTCGGCCTGTTAGAATTGGCACGTCTGTCCTCCGAAGAGGCCCACAGACCGATTGCACAGGCCCTAAGGCCAGGAACTTATTAAATGCCCCATTCCTCCGCTTGGTGCGACATCATCTGAATGTCAGCAATGTAATTAGATACACGCCGGGACACCTTGCAGGTACCGAGACAAACACATCCCAGCTTTTTTGTTTTGTTTTTGGCTTCAGTCTTGCTTTTTACACCACCGAGAGCTCTTAAAACCCTCCCACATGGGATGTCTTTTATAATACCAGTCTTAGCTCCATTTGCATATCGTTTTCTCGCTTGGCTCAGTTTCACACTTGCTGTGTCTAGACAGAGATTATTTTTAGTTCCTTAGCAGGAATTCACCAGCAACTGACAAAGACTTGGAACGAAGCGTGGTGATCTTTGTTAGAATGACTTTTGAGAAGGAGGGGGAAACGCTTTTGCTTGATTTTCCTCTTGAAAGTCTTTTCCCAGTTGTGTTTGCTCAAAGGCCAAAGCTCGCCTCATCATTTAAGTCCTTACAGACTGAAATGGTAATGCATGACTCGTCGGGGAACCGTTTTGTTTACAAGGAAAACAAAGCCCGTTCGTTGGTGTTTTCTCAAACGGCGAATGTTTTGCTCTCCCTCCGTCCAAACAGCCTAGTAATCTCAAGCTTTCCCAACCTGTTGAAGGGGCTTGCCCTTGTGGAAATGCAACAGATGTTCCCTTGACATCCATCTGGTCCTTTTTCTCGCTTGGCTCAGTTTCACACTTGCTGTGTCTAGACAGAGATTATTTTTAGTTCCTTAGCAGGAATTCACCAGCAACTGACAAAGACTTGGAACGGAGCGTGGTGATCTTTGTTAGAATGACTTTTGAGAAGGAGGGGGAAACGCTTTTGCTTGATTTTCCTCTTGAAAGTCTTTTCCCAGTTGTGTTTGCTCAAAGGCCAAAGCTCGCCTCATCATTTAAGTCCTTACAGACTGAAATGGTAATGCATGACTCGTCGGGGAACCGTTTTGTTTACAAGGAAAACAAAGCCCGTTCGTTGGTGTTTTCTCAAACGGCGAATGTTTTGCTCTCCCTCCGTCCAAACAGCCTAGTAATCTCAAGCTTTCCCAACCTGTTGAAGGGGTTTGCCCTTGTGGAAATGCAACAGATGTTCCCTTGACATCCATCTGGTCCTCGTGATCCAGTACCGTGCCACACTGTGAAGGGTTTTTCTTTTTTTTAACAGTTTCAGCTTGTCCTCAGTCAGGGGGCTGATCTCCCACACCTTATGCTTGACTGGGATACGGTGCCAACGGTGAACTTATTCAAAGCCCCGGGTTTAAAGATAAACACAGTAGTCTCTCCCATCCTGAGTCAGTCTTGACAACGGGACTCGTAACAAAAACCAGTCGGCGAGATCTTGTTTGTGTTCCCGTATTTGTGTTTTGGAGAGAGAAGGAAATTGACGTACGGCCACGGTTCATTTAAAGCTGTTTTCCTATGCATGTCAGGCTTCTCAGCATGGCACCACACACCTTCTCACTTAAGTAAACAACATGTGTGAGCTATCAGTGATATCAGTTACAGTGGGAAACTCAGATAAGAACAAATTATTAAAGGATTAATTCACACAAAATTGTAAATCCTGTCACGTATCCATCCTCCAGGTTGTTCCAAACCCATTTTATTTATTTATTTATTTTTTCATTTTTTTATTTTGTGGAACACAAAGGGTTAAAGTCCCCCCCCCCCCCTTTTTCAATTTTTTATTT